GGTAATACATTCTATTGCCACCACAGCAAACGGGCTGGGTGGCGCGGCACTGGACGGCCGCAGCGCGCTCGCTTCGCGCGGGTCCTTCGCGATAGACGGCTCCGGACCTGCGACGCGTCGGGAAACGCGTCGCTGCGGCACGGCTACGCGTAGCACAACGGAGGCCGTGCCTCAGTTTAGGGTTCAGGGGTTTAGGGGTTTAGGGGTTTAGGCTGTCAGGAAGAAACTCGTTAACATGTGGGTAGCTTTCTAAATTACGGTCCCTTTTGGTGTCCTTTTTATAAGGGTGCCGTATTATATTGGGGACCTAAAAAGGGACCCTAGTTTAGAGAACTACCCATATGACTCCCAGGGCACTATTCGGACTGTTATGCCCTTTGTTAGCATTGTGATTCTGATGGTGATTACGATGAAGTATGATCATCAGTAGCCCTAAACCCTAAACCCTAAATCCTAAACCGTTATTGCCCTTGTTCTCAGGAACTGTGACACCCGGCCTTCTGAGCCACGGTCGGATCTTGCGAGTTGGTGATATTGATGGGCGACTCGGACAGCTTGTATGCTTGGACACCGGAATGCCCGGAGAGCCATCCAAGCGGCCAGACCCACCAAGCAAGCACCAAAAAGCGGGTCACCTTCAGCTCAACACAGGATGGTCGTATGTTTTTTTCTACTGAGTCTTGCACACGTTGTCCACGTATCATTGCAGTCCCTTCCACAAGAATCTGACTCTGAAACATTCCTCCGGCTTTCCGGCTTTGATGGTCGAACGAGCAAACAAGGCTCTGCTCTGCAATGGAAAACCAGAAGGAAGCTGATACCTGAACATACCTGAACCCTAAACCCTAAACCCGAAGGCCTGGACTTGACCCGGGTGAACCTGATGCGTCGTCCTCCAACTCTGCAGACCCTCGCACTTGCGTCACTTCCCTGCAAGCTCAGTCACCTGAACCATGCCGGAGCACAGAGGTGTGCCGCACGAAGTTTGCTTCATTCACATGGATATAAGTTAACGTGAGAGCAGACGGCTGCAGGTCACGCATGGTTAAGGCTCGCACTAACACACAAACACACACGAGACTCCTCTCCACAAACCCTTAGAAAGGGACAAGACAATCAAAGTAAGTAAGGAGAGACGCCGGAAGGCGGTAAGCAGAAATGCAACAACTTTGAGCCCTTACGCAGGTTTCAAAGCACCAAAGCAATGAAGATAGCATGAATAGAACGGGCTCGAGGTCATCCACTTCTTCGACACATCCACAATCGACAGACGAGTCAAGGATATAAGCACTGAGTCGAGCACCATAACTAGCAGACTGGCGAAAGGGCGGTAGGGTCTGCCATACGATATCTGACTGTAGTATGGCATGGATGGGACAAGAATTTGGGACAGAGGGCACTTGCGCTGAGGGAAGACAGGATCTGGGCTTTCGCTGCTTCCGCTTGACTGTGTGCAGGGCTGGTCAGCCTGTCCCCGCCCGTCATGAACTACGTCAACTGTACCCAGCCCGTGAAAGGTACAAACCTAGATTCGAATCCCCCACAACCCTACTTATGCCTTTGTCTCAAGAGTGAAGGCAAATTGCGAATTATCCCCCTTTTACTTGGACGTGAGCCCTTATAGTCAGCCACTGCCATCATGCCTTAAGGGTTCCGTACCAGATCCAGTGCTCGGCTTAACAAATGCTGCACCAGCATGGGCGCGGTGGACATGCAAGGCACATCGCTCAGAAACGAAAGCCTTTTTCTTGTCTGCACGGCTTGGCGTTGGGGAACTGGCTATTACCTTAAAAGGACACTGAAAGCCAAACACTCGGCTCTAAGCTCCCCTCAGCCAGCTCCAGCTGGAAGTGCACGTGGCCCAGCAAGCGAGGTCTCTCCTTTCAGGGGAAAAACGGATTAAGGCTACACCTGGTAGAAACACGGTACATCATTCATGTATAGACAACAAGACAGCATGTTTTGTGAATCTTTCATCGACGACACCCTCTACGTCCTTCCAGCACTTCTCCACAAAGAGGCAACCTTCCGTCCATGGCCTCAGTGCCATACCTTCCTCTCACGACTCCCATGCTCCAACCGCAAGCTCCATGCATTTGATGCATTCATGGCGCATCAGCACGAGGCAGAAAACTTACCCACAGTTGGTCGTGGCTCCGATCAAAGTGTGCAGCATCTTAGGAATTTCGTTGGCAACGCTCTATCAGGATGCCCTGTGGCCGATTGAAGATTCTGAGATGTGCCTGGAGGCTACACATGGAGGGATGACTCCAAAGCCGGTTAAGTAGAGAATAATCCCTACTGTAAATGATGGTAGGCATCCTCGATAATGAACCCTTAATTCATCGGTATTGGAGTCTGAGCTCTGTGGCTGGGAGTCCACGCACCTGTAGTCACGGCGCATCCGCACGAGTCAGAAGACTCGCCCACAGGTGGGCGTGGCTCTCGTGCGGTTTTCCCTGACGGTGCTCTGTTCTGAGGTGGATTCCGTTTGCCTAAGCCTTCGCCTCAACACAGAGAAGAGAATGCCTTATGGCCGATCGGAGATCCGTTCAAGTTGAAGACGCTTGCAAACATACAGTCGGCAGTTGCTAGATGCGGCCCGTGCAAAATTTGCCGATCACATAGCTTGATCTCATGTGCACACACGACATAAACTGGCGCTGCACCTCTCTGCGCGACACGTTGTTCTTGTGGCGTTCTCATGGTTTGCGGAAGTGCAACACGGCCAGAGAGTTCACGCTGTACTCGGAGCTTTTTGCCGAACTTGCCTCTTTGCTCAGAAATTTGTCTTCACAGATTGGCCTTCAAATTCAAGGCAAGGTCCGTGCCACAGATCAGGACTCAGCCGTGGCCTAACACAGCGACTCTTCCAAATTGGGACCTGCGCTTCGACGGTGCTAGGCGGTGCCTGGCAGCAGTTGGCAGAACGTCTGGCCTGTTGTCAGCACTAGGCTGTGTTTGGCGGTCTCTGGCGGGAGTCTTCCTGCAGAAGATTTTGGCTGTAAACGCGGCGAGTATCCGACGGCATGCTGTGGTGCCGCGCAGTCACAACCTAAACGCACCACTTGCGTTGTGCGGTTCCTCTACCTCGAAACAAACCTGCCCTAAATTCATCTGCACTCTCCACAAACAGTTGAAGCTGTGTCTTGCGAGCCTTGCTGCTGCAGTGCAGGTCATGGCTCTGGGCTGAGCCAATGAACAACTTCAAACTCCTGAAGGCGCCACACCAGCAGACTTTCGGAAAACAAATCCTAACCGAACAGAAACCCGCTGCTACATGCAAAAGCTAGGGGTTTACGTTGCCCGTCCTAGACTGCCCACTTCCGGAGCAAAACAAGAACTTGAACTCGTCGTCCGTCAGCTTCAACGCATGCGACAGGCGTGGTTGTTTTCGGCGTCGCACATGCGAAGTAGCTGCAGCATGTGGACCCAAATATGCGATCCTGCACTTCATGTCTGCTCCCTCGTCACCTGAGCAGCACCTACTTCGTCAACGGCATCCTGTATTCAGATTCAAGGCGCTAAAACATGCAGCTGGCAACAGCAGTCTTTTGTGTAGAGAACGCATGGAAGCCAAAGAAAGGGCCAAAGAGGTTTGCGACCATTACGACAAAATTCAGTTTCGCAAAGCACGGAACCAAGGATACGAAGATTTGAGGCCTTGTGCCAGCCACCCCTCAGTTTGGCTGGATCAAAGCACCCTGGCATCAGGGCTGCCTTGAAAACCCAGGTTGCGAGTTGTGTGTTAAATGGTCCTGGGCAAACGCGACACTTTGCACATCCGGGGCAGCTGGTCGCAAGGCCAAGCAGGCGAGCCGCAGCCGCTCCTGCATAGCCACGGGTTCAGGCAGGCCCGGCACCTTGGACTGTGGATTTGAGTGGGTCCGGGTCCGGTGATGCTCCCGTCCTGTACCACGAAAAAGGGGGACGACGCCGCGGATGCCCTGCCGACTCTGAGTGCAAGAGATGTCACTGAAATTGCTTGCCCGTCACTCACTGCACATCTGCAGCTTTGAAACAGGCTTCAAGCTGAAACGACACCGTTTTTTGATGCCTGCCAACTGAACCAGGGGCTGGGCGGACAGACTTGCATCGCTACCAGGGAACTGGCAAGCTAGGGGGCCTAAAGCTTGAAGGCCAGTCTCGGCTCTACCAGCTCTCATTTTCGAATCCGAAACAGAAGGACTCCAAAACCTCTCAGTCGATGAGTCTTACATCCACAGAGGGGGACGGGTAACGTAAACCCCTGAATAATCAAAAGCACCTTTCTTTTGAAGGCACGAAAGCCGAGAAGGCTTACGAATCAGGGGTCTAATTCACTAAATGTCACAGAACACAAGAAAGCACAGCTAGAACATGCAACTGCGGAGTCAACTGTAACGCTCAGCAGAAGACTGCAAGTAAAAGGCTCATTGCTAGGGGCCCAGTGCAGCGAGGAGCCTACCTTGGGGCGCAGCTGGCAGCAGCAGACTTTGCCCGAGCGCATGCAAGCCAAAGAGAAGTGCGACCAGTACGACAAATTTCGTGCCAGCCACCCCTCAGTTTGGCTGGATCAAGGAAGTCGGGCTGAAAATTCATTGGCTACCGGAACTACCGGCATATGGCAAGCGCGCGCAGTGTTGGGCAAACGGTGACGCTTTACGCATCATCCGGCCAAGGGCAGAGGCCAAGCAAGCGTCAAGGACCAGTGGGACGACGGACGACAGAGAGCCTGGTCGTGCGTCATACCAGATAAGCATGTGCAATTCCTTAACTCTCCTTGGGCGTGCTTGTGTTTATTTGTGTTCTCAGTCTGGGACATGGCAGGAGTGCATGTTTTGTGTGGAAGCCCCAAGGGCAGCCTCGATGCCAAGCAGCGGCGTCGATTGCCTGACCTCCTGTCTTTCACGGCCTTCCACACCTTGCCTCAGCCCGTTACGTGAGGGGTACCCAGACGCATGGCAAGCAGCGGTACGGCCGGAGTTAGACTTGAAGCAGCATTGCAAAATCGTGGCGCCGCTCCTGAAGTGGAGTGATGGTCAGCCCCAATGCGCGGGGTTTATACTTAAGAGTTCCGGGGGGTTTAGGGTTTAAGAGCAGAGAGCATGGGCTACGACTGGTACGCGGTTGTGGAAGGCGCCAGGCCCTCGCGAGGACAGGTCAGCTGATTTGTCTGAATGGTCATCCCCGTCCTGTCCTGCTAGCTTCAGGAAGCCCCTCTCACCACTTCGGACTTCATGCCATTGGGCCGCTTACTAACGACAATGTCACGCGCAGGCTCACACGGTCTCGTTGTCGGCAGTTGCCAGACGTGTCCTGTGTAGTGCGCTGCGAAGAAGGGAACCGTGGTGCAAATTCAGACTGTTAGAGAGGGCCAGTTTGCCCAGCACCTACCCGAAGCTCATAAGCTTACACTCAACCTGGCACTGCACCTCTCTGCACGTCGTGTTGTTTCTGCCTCGCTGCCCATTTGCGGAAATGCTGCAGGGCCGCGGTTCACTGTGTAGTATGACCTTTTCCAAACTCGCTGTGATCAGAAACCGCGAAGTTCGCTCTCGCAGGCCTTGGAACACAGGTGCTTTCGGGTGATTCGACGTTCCCTGTGAGCATCGAATGATTGCGAAGCACATGGCCTTGGCAATGATTGCAAATGGATGCCACTTCAGCTCGGGGCTGTGCTGCACGTCCAACCTCACAACGAAAACAGAGAGCATTTGCTAAACAAACCACCAGCTACTCTGACCCCTACCCCCATCGCAATCATAACCTTGGCTGCCGTTCTGCCTGACGGCAATCCCAGTAGGGCCGCCATCGTAGGCTTAGAGTTCCAGTGGGAAGTCGTCTGAATTGCTGAAATCCTGAGTCAGCGGCTGTTGTGAGCCTTGCTTGCTCTCTGTGGCTCCTCGCAAAGCTCCGAGCTCAATCCTGCGAAACTCATCTTGCTGCACCGCTGCATCCGGCCATGGCTGCGTCTGCCTCGCTTGGGGTCTTAGCCGCTTGGTCTTAACGGGT